ATATATATTATATATATATATATTATATATATATATATAAGTAGTTTCGCAAGAAGATTATAATCTTCAATCATATGTTATTATGTTTCATACACGAGGACTTTTCTCTATGATATTTTCCATGAAAATCCGCCCGTAAAAATCGATACGGAGTGGCAATGATAAGAAAATCACATTGGCGACGTGTAAAACCTTAATGACCCGTGAAACATGTTTCTGAAAATTTCTGACTTTGCCTTCGTTGAGAAGTGGATGAGGATTATAAATGGGAACGTAACCAGGACACGGTATAATGACCCAGCCATGTTGAAAATTAAAAGGAAATTTATAAAAATTGCTGCGTTTCGAGTTCTGTTTTATGATTATTATTCTATATGCATTATTGGGACAGAATATTTTTCTTGGAATAATATTTTAAATGAAATATATATATATATATTTTGTTATTATTGTAAAGACTTCCAAAATTGAAGAAATTACAATTCTTTTTGAATTTATTTTTTCAAAAACTGTGATTTTGGAAAAAAATGATTTATATATTCATATTCACATTAAAATCTATAAGAAATACCTATTAAAGATTAATTACAAATAATAAAATCAAATTATATTGATCAGAGATAATTTTAAAGTTTTTCTTACTTAATTAGCACTATCATTATAATTAATTTAAGTAGTTTAATTCAATGGCTCAATCATCATTGCGAAAATTAAATTAGTTAAATTATATTTTCATTTATAATTATCCTTTGTGATAATAATATTTTAATTAAAATCTGATTTAAATATGAAATTTCGAATATGAATATTCAGATCTTGAGATCATAGTTTAATGATCAATTAAACGTTTTAAGCCAGATTACATCCTCATTCTTAAGCGTGAGCGTTAATCATTATTAAAGGCTGATTTCGAAGCACGCGAAGAAAGGAAGAAGAATGGTCCTAATAAAAGTGCTAATACTCTTCTAGAATTACATTAGTATTCTCATGAATAAAGTTTCCTCTAATGCAGCTAACACTTATGGAACATCAAGTGGAAATCACTTTATGTGATTAAATGCATCAATAAGAGATAAAAACCTTATAAAATAAACTTATTAAGTAAAATTAAATTTTTCATAGTTTTATCAATTTCAATATCAATCAAGAACAATGATTAATAATTCCTTATTCGATAATTCCATAATTCATATCATTTTTATTATTAAATTAAACATTACGTAAAATGTAAAATAAGAAAAATAAAAAATCTATTAAATATTAATTATTAATAATTATAAATAATTAATTATTAAAAATTTCTTTACATTACTTATAATAAGAAAATTCTAATTATTTTAAAATTATATATTAAATAAAATATAAAATAAAAATATTATTAAATATTAATTATTATTATAAAGAAATTTATATATTTGAATATTAAATAGATTCAATATTTTTTTTACAAATGTTTCAAATTTATACATACATTAAATTTCTTCAAAATTTTCAAAACAAAAAATTTCAGATGTAAAGACGATTTAAATAATATCAAATGAAAAGAAAATGCGATAAACAAAACGATCACCAGATTGATGTGAAAAATTCGACAAACGAGCCATAAAGTACACGTGGTATATTTTATTTATGTTCGAGTTGGTCCGAATGAAGAAAGGTAGCATGTATCGTGAGTCGTAAAAGGAATATCATCCGTGAACCACTTCTAGGGGAGAGTTTTACACGTCACAAACATTTTTTTTTTTTTTCGTTGTATGAATCATAAAGACGGATTTATTCTGACGAGACTTCTGCTTCCTAAATTTATAATTTTTTTGAGGATTCAATTTGTGAAAAAGATGGAGAAGAATCATCTTTTGAGAGGGATACATTTCAAATTGGACATTAGAATGAAAATTAAAATAATTTTGTTGAAAAACTAGAAAGAAATAATTTTGCAATAATCTATAAAATATTATTATATTTGAAAATCAATCCAATGGAGAAATGATTGAAGAATACTTTTTAAAATTAAAGTATTTAAATAAATAACATTAAGATTAATCTTCAATTAAATAAGTAGAATATCTCAAAATAGAGGGAATAAAAATTAAATTGACTTTATATGAAAAAATAGAAACCTAATACTTATTTTTATATTTAGGAATCATTGAAAATTATATTGGATAACACAGTAATTGAAGATCTTACTTCAAATTTATTTTTTAATAAAATTGTTGAATATATTTTTGTACAAAATTAGACAAGTCCAATGCATTTCTAACAATATGATTTTTGGAATGAAGAATCAATTTAAAAATGTAGACTTATCTGATTTTTCAAAATTTTCAAAATTTTCAATTATATAGATACACTATATTCTATAACATGAAAAAATGAAAAAGAAAAACTGTTTAAAAGAAGATAAAGTTTAAATAAGTTTATAACACATTCTTAAAACATAAACGAGTCGATAATCTTTAAATCCATCGCAATTTTCAGATTTCTCTTTCTATAAATTTTCTAAACTCACTTCTAAGAGTATATCAACTCGATGGAACTATATTCTTAGATCGGTTGACGCAAAAGCGATCAAGAGCTCAAATGAAAGTTTGAGAGAACCTGGAGTTACAAGAGATTCAGAAACTATTTCACTAGAATGGAATCTCTTGAGGAAGCTTGTAGATGGTATTAATGGGACAGAAAATTTAACGTTATGCCTTCACGATATATGTTCTACCATTGTTTTCTGTATAGGGGCGTCCTCTGAAATCGTAATCTCGGATTTTCGATGGTGTTATTGATGGGGATAAAATACATAATCCACGTCCATAGATTAAGAGATTAGAAAGATCTTCTGGGTCGTAGGATAATTTTTATATCTTTCTCCTCTCAAAGTAAATTAGACGAGAAAAGAAATCAAATTTAACAAAATTTTGTATAACTTAACGAGGAATCAAAAATTGACGTTATTCGTAATTATAATATGATGAATAATATTGTTCTATATATTTATTCAAGACTTGATTTATTTAATGAAATTGAAAAGATATTCTATGGAATTATACAAGATGAATCATTATATATTATAATTATAATAATTGTGTAAATGAAAGCTGAAATAATTTTGAAATTATGTTTCTTTTCAAATAAAAATTTTGAGAGGTATAATTTAATGTTATTTGTTTTTTTACAAATACATATATAGAAAGCATATAAAAATCATTTTTTTAAATGAATTAAACGAAATTTTTAATTAATTGAAACATAAATTATTAATCAAATAATAATTAATGTGAAATATTTTAATTTCATAAAACTTGATGAATAAATTTTATAAAATTCAAGTTAAAATATTGTAAATTCTGAAATAATAATTTCATGGTATAAATAATTTAATTTTTTTTTATATAGAAAATAACAAACTAAATTGATTTATTAAAAAATGTATAATTCCATTTAAACAAATAAGTTTGATTTTTTGTTCTCATTAAATAAAATCAAATCTAATTTTATCTATTTTACATTACCATATATTCTTTTCATTTACACAAAAAAAGGAATTATAAATTATTATGCTAAATTATGTATCATTCGAAACTATTCTACTTTTGTTTCTATTCTATATAATTAACAATTAAATATTAATTAATTTAAATATTTCATGTATTTCTTTCTTATGGTTAAATAGAGATTACACTCAAAAGAGAAACCTACTTACATATTCATTGAGTTGCTAAATTCATTAGTTTCACTCTTTTGTAATAAACACATCTTCCATCATTGCTCACATTCATGAGATATATATATTTGATTTCACTCAAATCTTCTTGTAAATCAA